CTTCTTTTAATGTGCTATGTAGTTGGATTTAGTATTTAGTTATTTTTGTTTTTGTTTTTTTTGGTGAGGAAGATTGGCCCTGAGCTAACATCTGTTGCCAATCTTCATCTTTTGACTTGCTGAAAATTGTTGCTAACATTTGTGCCAATCTTCCACTATTTTGTATGTGGGATGCTGTCACAGCATGGCTTGATGAGCAGTGTGTAGGTCTGCAGCCAGGATCCAAACCTGTGAACCCCAGGCCGCTAAGGCACAGCATGCTAACTTAACCACTACGGCACCAGGCCAGCCCCTAGAATTTTTTTTTTTAGTATTTAAGTATTTAGTATTAAGATTTTTTTTTTCCTTTTTGAGGAAGATTAGCCCTGAGCTACCATCTACTGCCAATCCTCCTCTTTTTGGTGAGGAAGATGGGCCCTGAGGTAACGTCCATGCCCATCTTCCTCTACTTTATATGTGGGATGCCTGCCACAGCGTGGCTTCACAAGCAGTGTGTAGGTCCACACCTGGGATCTGAACCGGTGAAGCCCGGGCCGCCAAAGCAGAACGTGCAAACTTAACTACTGTGCCACCAAGCCGGCCCCCTTTAGTATTAAGATTTTTTTCTGTGACTTTCCAGGGATTAAAAAGTACAACACACTTTAATTTTTAGAGAAAAAATACAATTTATATCCGTGGAATATGAAATTGAAATAGGCGAATTATACTGGCAAATGTCTATACAAACAAAGTAGCCACAGATAAAGAGAATAACAGTGGGAATATAAATACCAGAATCTCCTTAAATCTGTCTATCTCTGTCCTAAACTAGGAAAACTGAAACCATGGGGACAATCTAAAGAAAACAGAGTCAGCCTCTACAAGAGAACTTACAAACAACCTCATCTCCAGACCCGGTGAGTACAAAATTATCCAGTTCTCTAATTCTTTCAAATTTTCAAAGACTGTATATAAAAGTAGGACCATTGAGGGACAGAGTCTCAGTAATAGTGGTGTTTAAGAAGAAGGCAGAAGTGGAATCACATACAGAACTTTCTAAAAGTGCGTGTGCCTAGGCCTCACCACAGTGGGTTCCCATTCAGTAGGTTTGAGGTGGGGCCCAAGCATCCGCACTCTTTCCGGAGCTCTACAGTGATTCAGAAGAGGACCCGGGTTCAGGGTACTGCTCTTAAATGGTCCATCTGCCCACACAGGACACCCGGGTATGCAGATGGACGTAAATTCCTCACTCCCAGGGAAACCAGGCTACTAGGCATTCAAGGCCCTACACAGGGGGAATCCCAGGATGATCCCCTTAGAAGCCTCCTTCTGCATGAAAACCAAGTTAAAGCAGAGTCTGCCCTGGGCTGCAGCTGGTCCTCGTTGAGTCGATTCCCTGTGAAACCCTCCCGATAGAGGGTTACCTCTATTTGACTTGTCTATATCCAGCTGCCACCAAGACCTTTACTAACTGTATTTGCTATTAAGATTGTTAATGTGATCCTGGGCTTTTTCCCCTCCTAGCCTCTCTAGAGAAGCACAGTGGCTTGAGGCAGTAGACCCTGGTTCTAGTTCCAGCACTTTCACTAGTCTGTGTGATTTTGAGCTTGACCTTTGATTTTGACTTCCAGACAGAGATTTCTCATTTAAAACAAAATCTACAGGGGTTGGATTCATTCACCAAGGTGCCTTCTGGTTCCAGTTCCATGCTTGATTTTAGAATGCTGCATTAACATAAAAAGGAAAATAGCAATTTCTAGCCCTTTAACATAGTAGTGACTTACAGGTGTGACTTCCATGGCACAGACCACTAGATAACAGTGTCCTGTAAGAGTGTGTTTTACACAAGTGGCTGGATGTTAGTCTAACAACAGCTGCTTTAATGTGGTCTGTTGTGGAGGTTCACGGAAGCCTAATGTGTCCCCGTCCCTTTTAGGGAGGAGCAACGGAAGAAACATGAGCAAGAACGAAAGGAGAAGAAAGCAAAGGTTTTGGGAGCTCGAAGGGGCCTCATGGCTGAAAATTAATTAATTTTTTAACATTATGTAAATATTCCTTTATTCTGAATCTTTTTCTTGTAAATTTTTTATACTGTCCTCTCCACTTTAGTCAAAAGACCTTCTGTTAACTTTGTTCTTAATGTATGTAGTGTCAGTGAGTTCTTCACATGGTACATCTCTGCAAAGACATTATTGCCTTAAAGCTCACAAACTCTTTGAACTCGTTTTTACCTAAGTCCCTGTACAACTCAGTTTTCTAATGAGACCCATCCTATAGATTCTTGATGTAAGTTTTTGATGCCAAGTTCTGTCTGCTGGCTTTAATATTAACAGAACTGTAATCCTCTTCTAGGCAAAAACATTTACCTGATGGTAGCTAGTTATACACAAGCTTTAGCAGAAACTGAACAGTAACAAATTTGAATAGGGTAAGCTGGGAAGGGCCACCTCTTCATCCTCTGGAGTCTAGTCGTTCTCATGAAACTGTGGGTCATATGGGTTGGTTATGGCATCACGATTTTACCTATGTGAAGTGTTTTGTTTAAGCTTATTTGTACCTTTGTTCAGATCACTTCATGTAATTGCCATCTGTCACTCAATATATTCTTAAAAACAAAAACTATTAGCTCATTCATTCTAGCCTTGCTTATTTAAAAATATACAGGGCCATGAATGAAATTTGAGGATTGCTGCTTTAAGGATTACTGTGCTCTGCCAAACTTACATCTTATTCAATTTATGGAAAAGACTAGAGTTGCTTAGCATGATATGTATGTCGGTTGCACCTCAGTGAAGCTTTGTACTGCTTAAGATTTTCATAAATAAAATTTCTTTCTCATGGTGGTAGATTGATTCTTTGTAAACATAACTGGCTTCCAAGATTTAGTTAACCAGCTAAGATTAGCAGGAGTTTACTTGTACTGTTGGTGTACCCTCTCCTGAAGATCCACTCCCACCCCAAGAAGAAATGACCACGTCTCACTCTTTTCACAGCACGTGTCTGATCCTGTTATATTTATTATTATACACCTATGAGCCCACAGAACATGGCATACTCCGGGGTGCTTAATAAACTCAGATTTTGCTATCAAAAGGCAGAGATCCGATCAATCAGGAAAACTGGGTAACTGTCAAATACACTGTGGCTGGGAAGGTAAAATGATACAACCACTTTGGAAAAGAGCCTGGTAGTTTCTTTCTTTTTTTTTTTTTTTGAGGAAGATTAGTCCTGAGCTAACATCTGCTTCCAATCCTCCTCTTTTTACTGAGGAAGACTGGCCCTGAGCTAATATCCATGCCCATCTTCCTCTACTTTATATGTGGGACGCCTACCACAGCATGGCTTGCCAAGCGGTGCCATGTCCACACCCCAGATGGAAACCTGCAAACCCCAGGCCACCAAAGCAGAACGTGCACACTTAACTGCTGCGCCACTGGGCCAGCCCTGAGCTTGGTAGTTTCTTAAAATTAAATGTACATCTACCATATGACCCAGTAATTCTACTCCCAGGTATATACCCAAGAGAAATGAAACACGTGTCCACACAAAAACTTGTATGCAAATATTTACAGCAGTATTATTCATAGTAGCCAAAAAGTGGAGAAAAATCTAACTGTCCATCAGTGGATGAATAGATTAAAAAAGAATATTATACACTAAAAAGTAATGAAGTACTGATAACATGCTACCACATGGATGAACCTCAAAGACATTATGCTAAGTGAAAAGAAGCCAGACACAAAAGATCACATATTGTATGATTCTATTTATATAAAATATCCAGAGAGGATAACCTAAAGAGAAAACAGATTAGTAGTTACCTGGGGCTGGGAGTGGGAATGAACAGTGACTGCAAAGGGGCACTGAGGTTTCTTTTTAGGCTGATGGAAATTTTCCAAAATTAGGTGAACTTTATGTTATGTAAAGTATACCTCAATAAAGTTTTAAAGTTTTAAAAATAAAAAGACAATTACATGAAAATATACAAAATAGACTTTAGGCCAAGATGACGGAAAAAGCTATTAATCAGCCTTTGTGTATTCTCTTTATTTTAAGCTTGGCGCTCTTAGCATACTCTGGCTATATTAACTTCCTACCTCCTCCTCTCTCTAAGATGACAAGAATTGATCAATTTAAACTGTTAATCAGGGCCTTATTTTTGGCATATGCAATCTCTGTAATACTTAAAATGACTGGAGAAGCTTTGGGGACATTAGCCTAATATCTGAGTGGTTATACTAAAAGTCACTATAAAGTAAGAACTAGTAAGGATCATGCATCTTTGGAGGACCAGCTCTCCAAGTAGGTGTTATGGACTGCATGTTTGTGTCCCCCCAAAATTCCTATGTTGAAACCCTAATTCCCAATGTGATGGTACTTGACAGTGGGGCCTTTGGGAGGTAATCAGGTCATGAGGGTAGAGCCCTCATGATGGGATTAGTGCCTTTATCAGGAGAAAGACTAGCACTTGTTCCCTCTCGGCCATGAGGATACAGCAAGAAGGCGGCTGGCTACAAGCCAAGAAGTGGACACTCACCAGACACCAGATATGCAGGCACCTTGATCTTGGACTTCCCAGCCTCCAGAACTAGGAGAAATAAATGAATGTTGTTTAAGCCACCCAGTCTATGGTGATTTTTACAGCAGCCCAAGAAGACTAAGACAGTAGGCATCTCTTCCCAGTGACCTCTACAGCATCCTTAATATTCTTTGGCAGTCTCCTTTCCTCAAAGGTAGATTAGAAAACAGAAGAAACCTATAAGGAATAGAGTGGTAGAAAGTCATCAACAGTAATGTCAGAGACTCCTTGCTTTGGAAACCACCTACTCTTGTAGGAATTATTCCTAATAGGAATCATTCTAGCCAAAAACAGTTACTTACATAGTACTTCTGCATCAGTCCTTGCATTCTATAAGTTAAGGTAAAGCTCAGAATCTGGTTTCATGCTGTGTTTCCCTCTTTATAGTCCCTTTTAGCAGCAGCATTTAGCTTTGTCTCAGGGAATACATACTAGCCATTAGTTGGTTGCCATCAAAGAAATACTTTATTTTGTCTGTGTTATCGTGGATCCTACAACTCTTAGTTTAATAACACAAAACTACCACATAATCTCTATTTAAAAAGTCTTGGGTTAAGCTCTGGAGAATTTTCATAGGCAAATTCTTCTGTGTGGGCTGGATCAGTAAACACTCCAATAAAATCTATTTCCAGGAAGAAAGGACCATCCACTTTATCAGCCAGGGTGAATCCGATAGAAGAGATCTAAATTTAAAATAGAGAAATTGATCAAAATCCCACACTGATGCGCTGACATCGTTCCTGAGTTTTCAACTTCCATGAGGGGATTACTATAGCTGGGCCTTTAAACTTCCATGAGGGGATTACTATAGCTGGGCCTTTAAACTTCCATGAGGGGATTACTATAGCTGGGCCTTTAAACTTCCATGAGGGGATTACTATAGCTGGGCCTTTAAACTTCCATGAAGGGATTACTATAGCTGGGCCTTTGAACTGTCAGTCCTTAGCAAGTCTACCACACTCCTCATACGCTGCAGCAAATTATAAGAGGAAGTACAGGGCTGCTTTTCTTTCCACATTCTACTTCCTCTCCTCTCCCTTTAAAGTAGTGCCACTTAAGACTAGTGACGACAACATGGATGTCTAACGGAGGTTCCTTGAAGCTCTCCTGAACTCTAATACTGTTCTCTTATTTTAAAGCTAAAATAAAATGCAGGCATGCTGAGAAGATGACCATTCTGAGACCCCTCCAGGATGGAGGGCTGCCTCACAGGATAGGTCTGAGTCAACATCTGTCTGGGTATAATGGGGGGCCTTGAGTAGGAATTGTCATCTTTCATTTGTCAGCCCTCAAAAATGGACTGAACTCATCCTCACAGGAGTTCTGTTTCACTAAAGATAATACAGTTCTGAGTGAAAGTACAGGAAAATGTTACCTTGTCAAGCAGAAGCTGGTACTGGGCATCCCGGATTCTTCCTTGATTAGAGAAGAAAAATTTGGAGAAAGGAATCTGAAAGAAGAAACCATTTACTTCATAGATGAAATGTAAGCAACTGAGGCATTTGTATGGAATTGCAATGATAAAACAATAATTCTAAATTATTTAATATATGCAGTTATGACAAGTGGCCAGTCATTTGGATCATAGATATAAATTTTTTTAAATGAAATAACATAAACACCAGAAGAAAACAGATGAAAACCTTTCTAAGCCAGAAGTCCCACAGGAAAAGTGATACAGTAGAGTACAACTATAACTTTCTGATGGCAAAAGACAAAGGGTAAACTAGGAAAAAAAATTTGTAAGATTTATGGACAAAAACTAGTATCCTAAACACAAAACTTTTTTTTTTTTTTAAAGATTGGCAGCTGAGCTAACAACTGTTGCCCATCTTCTTTTTTTTTTTCTGCTTTTCCTCCCCAAATTCCCCAAGTGCATAGTTGTATATTTCAGTTGTGGGTCCTTCTAGTTGTCATATGTGGGACACCGCCTCAACGTGGCCTAATGAGCAGTGCCATGTCGGAACTGATCCAAACCGGCGAAACCCTAGGCCGCTGAAGCAGAGCACGCGAACTTAACCACTCAGCCATGGGGCCGGCCCCCTAAACACAAAACTTTTACAAATAACTGAGAAAAAGATTAAACAACCCAGTAGAAAAATGGGGATGGGAAGAAACAGGCACACTTGTATACTGTTAGTAGGAGTGCAAATTAGTACCACTCTTAGAGGGCAGCTGGAGATTGCAGCAGGCAGGATTCTAAGATGCCCCTCAAGATGTCCACCTTCTGGTGTACAGACACCTTCTTCCAGGTATTCAAAGACTAATCTCAGTGCTGCTGGGGAGGGACTGTGCAGAAGTAAGGTCCCAAATCAGGTGACATTAAAATAAGGAAGATTATCCTCTGTAGACCTGAAAAACACTTTTAAGCCCATAGAAGGGACTCTGATGAAAGAGATTAGAAGCCTAAGAGGGCTTCCAGAGGTTGGGCAGGGAGGGGGCCACTTCCCACTGCTGGCTTTGAAGGTGGAGCTAAATGGTAAGGAATACAGGCAGCCTCTAGGAGCCGAGAGTGGCCCCCAGCTGACAACCAGCGAGGAAATAAGGATGTCAGTCCTACAATCACAGGGACTGAATTTGGCCAACACCCAGAATGAGCCTGGAAGTGGATTCTTCCCCAGAGCCTGCAGGAAGAACACAGCCCAGCTGACACCTTGATTTCAGCCTCTAAGGTCCCAAGCATCAAACCCAGCCACACCGTGTCCCAACTTATGACCTACAGGACTGTCAGTGAACAAATGTGTGTTGTTTTAAGCTGCTAAATTTGGTAATTTGTGAAGTAGCAAGAGAAAACTAACACAGCAATTTCTAGCAAAATTTGAAATGCCATTAACTTTGACTTACCAATTTCACTTTTAGGAATTTATATTTTAGATAAACTCTAACAAACACATAAAGATATAGCTTTTTCTAATAGAAAAAAAGAAAAGTATAGGAATGGTTAAATAAATTATGATGCAGCCATACAATTGAATACTATACAGCTACGTTTAAAAATGAAGTAGATCTACACAGGATGCAATGGGAAGACTTCCACAATATATTTTTAGTAAAAAAGGAAGATACAGACAAAATCTATAGTATAATCTCATTTATATTTTTCTGAAAAGGTCTCAAAAAAACCCTAAGTAAATACTGAAGACTAATGATAAGCATGTTCAGGGGCAAAATGTACTGATGCCAGCAACTTACTTTAAAATAAAAACATAGATTTAAAACAAAGATAGATTGATAAACAAATAGGAGGAAGGCTAGGCAGATATAAAGTAAATACAGCCACATGTTCCTTGAGAAATGCAGGTGGTGGCTATCTGGACATTCACTATGCCATTTTAATTTTTATGTCTGTCTGAGATTTTTCATAATAAAATGTTGAGGAAAACAAGAAAGAAAAAAATTCTTCTTCAATATTAACAGAAATGTCTTGAAGGATATGCCAGAAACTGTTAACAGTGCTTGTCTCTGGGAGATCAACATGGAGTCTGAGCAGGAGGGACCTGTTTTTCCCTTGTAGAAAGTGTACTAATTGCTTATATCATAGACAAAAGGCCAATCTCCGAATAAAGAGCTCCTAGAACCCGAGGGGAAAAAAGGCCAACCACCAACAGAAAGACAAGCAAAAGACATGAACAGACACTTCACAGAAAAAGAAATACAAATTGGCCCTTAAAGACATGAATAGGTGTTCAATCTCACTCATAACAAGAGAAATGCAAATCAAAACTACACTGAGAATTACCATTTCTCACTTATCAGATTGGCAAAAATCCAAAAGTTTGACAATTTACTCTAGTGGTGAGGCTGTGGAAACAGCCACTGTTATTTCATTACTGATGGGAAAGCAAAAATGGTACAAATCCTTTGGAGGATGCTTTGACAATATAGATCAAAATTACAAAGCATTTACCCTTTGCACGGTCATCTCACTTGGAGGAAGTCAGCCTAAAGACGTACCTGTACATACACAAAATGACCTTGCACGTGGGGGTGTTCCTGGCAACATGATTTACTATAGCAATTGGGAACATTCCAAGTGTCCGTCAACACAGGACTTGTTCAATCAACTGTGGGCTATCCACAAATACCAAACAAAATAACAATGAAGAATAACTCCATGTAGAGACATGGAAGTTTTCCAGATCTAAATTTAAAAAATATAAACAGGTGCAGAAGATACATAAAGTATGCTATTTTTATTTTTGAGTTAAAAGAGGGAGAAAATAATATACATTCATATTTGCTTGTGTTTGAATAAAGAAACTACAAAGCTACCCAAGAAACTAATAAAAGGGGTTACTATAGAGGGTGGGCGGGAAAAGGGTGAACAAGAACATGAGTGGGAATGAGACTTCTCAACGTACATCTCTTTATATCATTTTGATTTTTGAACCAAAAAATAAAAACGAATTTTAAAAAATAAAATGTACTGTTCAGATTATCACCAAAAACACTTGTTCACACAAAAACAAATGCAATTCAAAGCTGATACAATAAGCCACCATTGCACAAGATCATGTTGCTCACACAGCAAATCTAAGTGTAGTCACATCCTCATTTCAACTGCTCCCTTCATTTCTGTCAAACCAACCTGGAAGGGACCCCTTCTGTGAATTTCTCATTTTAAATCCTAGTTTGGCACTTCATCTACCTCATCATTTAAAATCTATTTTGGAAATGGAATCAATGCTACCTGCTTGCCATCCAAGGAGTATGTGTCACCCACCCCACTGGTCCCCTCAACCTAATCTCTTTTTAGGCACATAACTGTCTAAGACCACTCTCCACACCAAGCGAACTGGAAATTTTGAGCCTGGAAAAAACTGAAGAAGGAACATTCAATCTGTAAAGCTTGAATAAAAAGAAAAGGATAAATAGTTGTTTTCTGTCTACAAGTAACAGAAAACTAATACACAGTTCTTCCAACATTTTCCTGTTTTCTCTATAATCAGAGCCTCCTACTTCCATTTACCAAAGGAGAATTATTCATGAAGTGAACAACAATTGATAACATTTAATTTTTAAAAATCTCTTCCCCAACACTTTCCTTTATTTATCTTTTTAAAAAATTATTTTATTGGGGTCATATTGGCCTACAGCATTGTGTAAATTTCAGGTGTATATTATTATATTTCAGTTTCTGTATAGAAACTGCATCATGTTTACCACTAACAGTCCAGTTTTTATCTGTCACCACAAATATGTGCCTGTTTACCCCTTTCACCCTCCCTCACCTCCTTCTCTTCTGGTAACCACTAATCCTTCTCCTTACCTATGCGTTTGTTGATCTTCCACATATGAGTGAAATCATACGGTGTCTGTCTTTCTGCTTGACTTATTTTGCTCAGTATAATACCCTCAAGGTCCATCCATGTTGCTGCAAATGGCACAATTTTGTCCTTTTATGGCTGAGTAGTGTTCCATTGTATAAATAATAATTCCCCATCTTTGCCCCTGGTAACTTTTGTTCTACTTTCTGACTGTATGAATTTGCCTATTACCTCATATAAGTGGAATTATACAATATTTGTCTTTTTGTGTCTAGCTTATTTCATGTAGCATAATGTCTTCAAGGTTTATCCATGTTGTAACATATATCAGTACTCCATTCTTTTTTGTGACTGAATAATACTCCATTGTATATATAGACATCTTCTTTATCCATTCATCTATTGATGGGCACTTGGGCTGCTTCCAAGTCTTAGCTATTGTGATTCATGCTGCAATGAACATATGAGTGTACTTATCTTTTTGAATTACTGATTTCATGCCCTTTGATAAATACTTAGTAGTGGGAAAACTGGATCACATGGTAATTCTATTTTTAATTTTTTGAGAAATCTCCATACTATTTTCCATAGTAGCTGCACAGTTTGCATTCCCACCAGCAGTGTATGAGGGTTCCCTTTTCTCCACCTCCTTTCCAACATTTATTATTTCTCATTTTGTTAACTATAGCCATTTTGACAGGTGTAAGGTGATATCTCACTGCAGTTCTGATTTGTTACCTAATAATTAGTGATGTTGAACATCTTTTCATGTGCCTGTTGGCCATTTATAATCTTCTTTGGAAAATGTCGGTTCATAACCTCTGCCCATTTTTTGATTGGATTTTCATTTTTTTGTTGTTAAGTTGTATGAGTTCTTTATGTATTTTGGAAATCAATCCCCTGTCAGATAAATGGTTTGCAAATACTTTCTCCCAGTTGGTGGGTTGTCTTCTCATTTCGTTCATAGTTTCCACTGCCTTGCAGAAGCTTTTTTGTCTCATGTAGTCCCATTTGTTTATTTTTTCTTTTGTTTCCCTTGCCTGAGTAGACATGGTATTTGAAAGAAGCTGCTAAGACTGATGTCAAAGAGTGTACTGCCTATATTTTCTTTTAGGAGTTTTATGGTTCCAGGTCTTACATTCAAGTCTTTAATCTATTTTGAGTTAATTTTTGTGTATGGTGTAAGATAATGGTCTACTTTCATTCTTTTGCATATGGCTGTCCAGTTTTCCCAACACCGTTTATTGAAAAGACTCTCCTTTCTCCGTTGTATATTCTTGGCTCCTTTGTCTAAGATTAGCTGTCCACAGATGTGTGGTTTCATTTCTGGGCTTTCAATTCTGTTCCATTGATCTGTGTGTCTGTTTTTGTGCCAGTAACATGCTGTTTTGATCACTATAGCTTTGTGGTATATATATATATATATATATATATATATATATATATATATATATTTTTTTTTTTTTTAGGAAGATTAGCCCTGAGCTAACTGCTGCCAATCCTCCTCTTTTTGCTGAGGAAAACTGGCCCTGAGCTAACATCGTGCCCATCTTCCTCTACTTTATATGTGGGACGCCTACCACAGCATGGCTTTGCCAAGCAGTGCCATGTCCGCACCTGGGATCCGAACCGGCAAACCCCAGGCAGCTCAAGTGGAACATGCGCACTTAACTGCTGTGCCACGGGGGCGGCCCCTGTAGTATATTTTGAAGTCAGGGATTGTGATGCCTCCAGCTTCGTTCTTTTTTCTCAAGATTGTTTTGGCTCCCTCAATAATTTAAAGAGAACTGTTGCAAAAAACTATTACTTCCAGTCAAAGATTATAACTGTGTATTTTCAGGAAAGAAAGTAATTGTTAATGATTAAATAAATGGTAGTGATACTGGAGAATAATTGGCAATGTGCAGCAAAAAAGCCCTTAAAAATGTACATATCATTTATTCTAGGAATTTTATTTCCAGGAATATATCCTAAGAAAATAATTAGGGATGTTTACCTCAGAGTTTGGTCTCATAATGAAAAACTCTGAAAACAACCCAAATGTACCAATAAAAGAGGATGGATTAAGTAAATTGTGCTCTATTTCTATACTAAAATATCACAGACATTAAAAATGATGTAGAAATATATTTCAACAGAATGTTGTATATAAAATCAGTTCAGTGAACAAAATACACATAAAACAGCATTAGCACAATACCATTTTTGTTAAAAAAAAGTATAAATAGAAAAGTGTGGTACACACTAAAATGAAAATAGTATTTTACCTATCAGTAGTGGTACTTCAAGATTTTTTCCTTTTCTGCATTTTGCAAATTTTCTATAATGAAATACTTCTTTAATAATCCATTACACATATTATTTGCATACAAGTGTTACATGTCATAATTTTTTGGTTATATATCCATATTAGTGCACAAATATGTACTGAGTGCCTATTTTAGGTTAGGCACTATTCTAGGTATAGGGGAAGCAGCTATGAACAAGACAGACAAGGTTCTGCTCTCAGAATTTACGGATTTATGTTCCATGGGAGTAGCATAGAGAATGACAATAAACCAAGAGTAAAATTCCTTTTAAAAAATTTTTTGAAAGTAAAAATAGGGGCCTGGTGGCATAGTGGTTAAGTTCATGCGCTCCACTTTGGGAGCCCAGGGTTTACCAGTTTGGATCCTGGCTGCAGACCTACACACCACTTATCAAGCCATGCTGTGGCAGGCGTCCTACATATAAAATAGAGCAAGATGGGCACAGATGTTAGCTCAGGGCCAATCTTCCTCAGCAAAAAGAGGAGGACTGGCAGCAAATGTTAGCTCAGGGCTAATCTTCCTCAAAAAAAAAAAAGTAAAAATAATTTTACTTAGTGATAAGTTCTATGAAAAAATTAAACAGGGTGGTGTTATTGAAAGTGACTGAGTTAGAGGGTGCAACTTTAGCTAGAGGGATCAGGAAAGGCCTGGGGCAACTTTTGAGCTGAGAAGTGAATGATACAAAGAGAAAGCAGGTAAAGATATGGGGGAAGAGCACAGCAGCAGATACAACAGTAAGTACAAGGCTCTGAGACAGAAAAGACCTTGTTGAGTCTGACCCACAGCAGAGGGGCCAGTGTGGAGGAGGGAGGTAGAAGGGCCATGTGGGCCACGTTAAGGAGTTTGGACTTTATTCTAATTGTAAGGAGAAACTACTGGAGGGTTTTAAACATGTGAGTGATGTAATCTGAACTAATGAATCACTCTGGCTGCTGTGTGAAGAGTAGATTTTAAGGGGCAAGAGGACAAAGAAGGAAATCAATAAAGAAGCTGCTGCAGTAATCCAAAGGCCTGGATTAGGGTTTGAGTAGAAGAGATGGCTAGAAAAGATCAGATTCTGGGTGTACTCTGGAAGTAGAGGTGACAGGACTTACTGATCAACTGGATGCAGGGTGAGGGAGAAAGGAAGCCAGGATGACCCTTAGGTTTGAGTATAAGCAAAATGGAGACTTTCTTTTGAATTTATGGATTAAAAACCTTCAGTAGGCAGAAGGAATGAGTACTTGATTTTGCCCTCGCTTCCTGAATTTCCACTTATTTTCCTCCAGGTTAACATCATTTACCATCTCAAAGCTTCTTCTCACTCACAAAATAAGACTGCTTTATATTACCAAGAAATAAAAATTTTTATGATTGTAAAGTATGAAGTGTTTATTTCTCTTAAGGGAGCCTTTCTATTAACGTAGGGACACTAGCTTAGTGGAGTTGCCTGGAGGAGATGACATGGCAGAAACTTAAAAAGAAACATCTACTTGGGCACAGAGCAGAGATGTACCCATGACTTAGCATGGACCTGGCCAGATCCTTATCAAAAACATTTACTGGTAGTAAGCTAACATACATACTAATGAAAGAAAAAGTCAATTATGTCAATCTTGCCCCCAGTTCCTCTTCCCTCCTTCCCTCCCCACATCTTTCAAGGATTAGTAAGAAAAAAAAAACTACAATGTAACCATAATCTCAAGAGACCTTATTTTCATAAACAGTAAAGACTTGTGCTGTTACCTTGACATCCTGCCAGTAGGGCCCCCCCCGGGTGAACATGAAGTAACTGTACATCTGATTCTTCCTCTGGATTATATCCGTGTCCTCCCTGATATTCACCATCCAAGGCCGACCATCTCCACGGACACGGAGATAAAGTGTGTTAAACTGGGACCAATCATAAGACCTCTTTCTCTCAAAAGGGCCCTAAGGTACAAAAAGGAAAGTTAATTTCACCTCATTTTCCACTATTAGCAAAATGTGAGTCATCACCAAGTCAGCAGCATCAAAAGGTTCCACTAGCCATTTTTCTGCCTTTTTTGGCTTTCTACTACCATAGACAGGTAAATCTAGTGATTCTTATTTTAGTACAAAATCCTGACAGAGTTATGTTTCTAAGGTAATGTTTAAGACGTGATTGGCTCAGGACAGTGTTCACCTGGGGAAGGCACTCACCTGTGTTCACAGAATGGCAGTGAATTACTGTATGTACTTTCCTTCCCTCGTCCTTCCCTCAGAGCCATGGCTTCTGAGTAGGCCATTTTATGACAGCTGTCTTCCCATAAATGAGAAAACTATGAAAAATCTTAAGTTTTAAAACTGATATTTTGGGGGCCAGCCTGGTGGTCTAGTGGTTAAGTGTGTGCTCCACTTCAGCGCCCGGAGTTTGCAGGTTCAGATGCAGATCTATACACCACTCACCAAGCCATGCTGTGGCGGCATCCCATATACAAAACAGAGGAAGACTGGCACAGACGTTAACTCAGGGACAATCTTCCTCAAGTAAAAAGAGGAAGATTGGCAACAGATGTTGGCTCAGGGACAATCTTCCTCATCAAAAAAACCTGATATTTTATAACAACAGTTACCATCCATTGAACATTTACATGAAGCACCTTGCATGCATAATTTAATCATCACAACAGCCCTGAGGTAGGTACTATCATTGTACTCCATTTTATAGATGAAGAAACTGAGCACTCAACTAATTAGTGGTAGATCCAGCCCTGTTAAACTCCAAAATCTGTGTTCATAAAAACTATCAATGCTGTCTCTCTCTCTCTAAAAGTGAGATTTAGTGTAAACTTCCAAACGTGTTTGTTTCTATCAATCTCAGAGGTACTCTGACTTCAAGAATACCAGTGCTCAGATATGAACGATTATTTACTAGCTGTGAACTTTGGCCAAGTTACTAAATCTCCCCAGGACTCAGTTTCCTCATCTGTAAAACTGGGGTGATCATACCTTACAGGGTTGTCGTGAGGAATAAAAGGGATAGCGCATATAAAGTAATCAGCACAAGGATTGGCAGGGTGACTTAACAAATGTTAGCAACCAGTTTAATGACTCCAAAGTGGGTATCCAGCCAGAAAATTATTTTCTCCTGTGGACTGACCCGATCCATTCTGTGGATTTTCAGGTCCAGAAAAAAAGATCTTGTATGCATAGTTTGTTGCCTCCCAAAAAACACATACCTTTCTCTTTCATCATTATCAGGAGAGAGGTAGCCTAATACTACTCCTAACATTTGCCTTTCTCTTTAAAGCACAATATCCAAGCAAACATTCAGAGGCTGTGGCCAAGGCCAGGCACAGGAGCCTCTCCAGGGCCACCCTGAAACAACGCCTGGTCAGCAAATTGGCAAAAAGCCACAGACTGGCAGTCAGACGAAGGAGCTGACCTAAGGAACTTTGGAAAATAGGGTTCTGACTGGAAACTGTGAGGCTAAAGACAAAAGAAACTATACATAAACACTGTACTCTGGATGGTAAAGTTGTTTCTCACAGGGTTATGGGTTAAAAATTCTAGGGGCTGGCTGCGTGGCATAGCAGATAAGTTCAGCACACTCCACTTCGGGGCCCAGGTTCACGGGTTTGGCTCCTGGGCGCGGACCTACACCACTCGTCAACCATGCTGTGGTGACAAACCACATACAAAATAGAGGAAGACTGGCACAGATGTTAGCTCCGAGCTAATCTTCCTCAGGAAAAAAAAATCTAAAACTGCTTGACATGTATAGTGAGGCTGAATTAATAATTAAATGGACGGTGAATGGTGGGAGACAGGTTTCTCAGTGCTACACAGAGAAGTTACATATAAACAAGGGGAAAGCTAGAATGAATCACATGGTCCTAGATTAGTCAGAACATTAAGGTGAACTCATATTTAGCATAACATAGGTACAATTATAGATGTGAGTTTCCACAGGTTGATATGCATACATGTATTTCCTAGCTGTGTCCACTGAGAGGGCCTAGAAGTAGTGCCAACCAGGAGGAACAAGGGCACCGTGCCCAGATCTCAGTTTCTAATACCATTCTCCAAAAAAAGGAACCAAGGCCCCTTTGAGAAATGGATAATTCTAGGGTTGGAACAGGGAAAATACAACATGAGCTTAGAGCAACTTGTAGTCCCAAAAAGTGCTCAAAAAACAAAAGGATGGGGGCACGTCAAAGGGACAGGAGCCAACCTGAAAGAGCTCCCAATGGCCAAAGCTGGAACAATTTGAATAACAAAATAAATAACACAATATTGGATTATAATCCAAAGTGTGAGTTCATACTAAATGACTGACTGAATAAATAGGCGTGGGAGAAGAAACAAATCTTCCTTACTGAAGAATCCCAAATAATTTATGTAAACACCACCCCTTCCAGGAGATAGAGCTTAATCTCACGGCCCACGACACGCAGTGAATGTAGGTGCACTCAGTGACTTGCTTCCAAAGAACAGAGTATGGAAACGAGAGAAAAACAAGTGACTGAACAACGGAGTAACCTGGCAAACACTACCTTGACCTGGTCATCAAGGTTAACACATCAGTGATAAGTCATGTGGCTAGCATGTACCCCTGAGATGATGTGATGAGAAGGTACTTCAACTCTGTGGTATTATTCCTAAAAACCCAGAACCCCAGTCTAACCAGGACAAAAAAATCAGAAAACCCCCAGTTGAGGGTCATTCTACAAAATACCTGATCAGAATTTCTCAAATCCTCAGGAACAATAAGAAAAGACTAAGAAACTGTCACAGACAAGAGGAGACTAAGGAGACACGACAATAGATGCAATGTGGTATTTTGGAATAGAAAAAGGGTATTGGTGGGAAAACTAATGAAATCCAATAAAGTCTGGAATTTACCTAATAGGAATGTACCAATGTTAGTTTCCTAGTTGTGACAAATGGACTGCAGTAATGTTAAGATGTTAACAATTGGAGAAGCTGGGTGAGGGGTATATAGGAACTCTCTGTACTCAATCTTTGCAATTTTTCTGTAAATCTAAAACTACTCTAAAATTAAAAGTTTACTTTAAAAAAAAGCCACAAGCCGACCCTACATCCACTCTAAGGAATCCCTGGACATTACCGGTTCCATGGTCTATGATAGAGGAGATATGAATCTCCCCAGATCATTTTCCAAATGTCTAACCTCTCAGGGCTCCTCAAACATAAGAATGCCCCCCATGGCCCAAGGTGATGCCCAAAAACAAGGAACTCCTCCTCAAGAACCACTTCCCCTTTGTGCTGCCACTTTATACTTGTGCCCAGTAGTTATTTAACCCCACACGCAGAAGAGATGACAGGTGTTCTCATTTCCAGAAACAAAAGTTGTCTGCTACAGTCCATGCTACAGTGAAGTTCACCCAGTCCATTAGAAAACTGAGGCTCCTGGGCCTCACCTACCCTTGGAATCCTGGATATCATTGCACAGTACCCACTGCGGCTGCTCTCCCCATCCTGAGGCGTGTCAGAGCTCAGAGTGCCATACAGCAGTGCACTTTGGTTATTCTTGCCCATTTTCAGGAACGCTTCACTTCTGCCTCCAATTGTCTTATCAGAAGTCACTATCCACTTATCCAAATCTTCTTTTCCACGGAACTTCCAGACAACCCTCGCTTGTTCCAGCAAGACCTCATGCAGAGGGCGGCCTTCAGGGCCTATCCAGCGATTCACAATATCATCCTTCAAACGCCAAAAATGGTTCTTTAATTCATCTTTAATTGCTTTATCAAAACTAACTTCAGGCTTCTCCTCAGGACAGGTTATATCCAAAGCAACATCTCTTTGGTGATGTCCTTGCAAATCCCCTTCAGTCTTCCTCTGAGAGGAAGCTTTGCCAGGAACAGGTGCTGGTTTCTGAAGACTACTGGAACAATAGTCTGCAAAGCGAGTACCCAAAAATGGATACGAGGCAACACTTGGCTTTGGGCATTTTCTGAGAATACAAGTGCCATTCAGCAACTTGTGAACCAAAGCCATGGCAATAAAAAGTCAAAATGTAAATTTCTCGCTGGGCTACCAGGAAAAGAAGTTGCAGCAAATAGCCCAATTTCACCTATAACAGAAGAGGCATTGAAGAGTTACCAGTATAGTAACGAATGTACCACAATTTCAGATTCAACATGGATCATGTATTATGAAATTCATGAACTTACTTTCTAATCCTATAAATATTTACCCAGGCCCTACTATGAGCAGAGCACTATTTGCACTGTACGTAATGCATCCCACTGCAGTGTGAAAAAAAAACACCAAGATGAATAAAAACACAGGCCCCTTCATGGAGCTAATGATCAACCCAAAAATTATTTAAGTATGTGCTAAAAGCCACCTAAAGAGGTTTCATCAATTTTAAAGCAAATTTTTATGCTGGATTTTTAAAGAAACAATTGGTTCCTAAAATAAAATATTAAATCAATTCACTCTAAGACCTGAGCCAAGTGACTGGACACTCTAGGACTTCATCTATAAAAAAGCAGACTACATGGGGCCGTCCCCGTGGCCAAGTGGTCGGGTTCGCACACTCTGCTTTGGTAGCCCGGGGTTTCGATGGTTCGGATCCTGGGCGTGGACATGGCACTGCTCATCAGGCCATGCTGAGGTGGCGTCCCACATGCCACAACTAGAAGGACCCACAACTAAAAATACACAACTATGTACCGGGGGGCTTTGAGGAGGAAAAACGGGGGGGGAAAAAGGGACTACAGTGAGCATTCTATGTGGAGTCAGAAAACCTGGACTTGACACCTGGCTCTGCCCACTTATTAGGTTATGAGTACTGTGAATATTGGCAATTTCATATGGCTAAACGCAATAAAGCTGTTTACCCTCAGTTAAAGCAGTTGATCTTTTGAGGCCTCCATTTCCAGAGGGGTAAGGCTGTGTTAACACCTCTGCCACTTACGTAAAGGGATTCTTCAGAGGATCAGATGGTCTCTCTGATGCATTAAGTCTGACAAGATCCCCAAGATTCTTCATGTCTAACAAGCTCCTAGCCCACACTCCACACTGTGAGTAACAATGCTTTGACCATGTCACTATTCGAGCTCCTCAAAGAAAGAACCTAAGCAACAGCAGCAATAATACCATAACATTTAAATACTATTCTTAATATTTTCAAACCACTCTGACATAGATTATCTCATTTAACCCACATAAGGCTCCTGTAAGACAAGTCAACTAGATATTTCCTTTCTCTAGGAAACTGATACCAACAGGTGAAGTGACTTGCCAAAGCTCACACTGCTAGTCAGTACCAAAGTTAGAACTAGAACTCTAGCCTTAAGTCCTTCCACCAGATGCTGCTGCCTGTCTATATGTAAAACATTAGCAATATAACTTTTATAGCTCTAATAAAATAACAACTTTGCTTTTAGCAGCAACATTTAATGAGTGCTGGCAGGAAGTGCTACCAGAATCAGGAAAGCAAGAATAGTCCCCTCTTCTAACTATTTCAGCTACCCCTAAAAGGAAAGAAAATATGCAAGGCCAATTTCTTTGCTTTTCTCCTATCCTGGCCCCAGAGACCAGAAGAAAGAAAAAGCAAAACCAAAAACTCGCCCACTATTCAGAACACAGTGCTGAATAAGAAACTAAATGGAACACCAAAAACATTTAAAAAAATAAATTTTTTTTTAAGCCTCAGAAATGTCAAAAATCCAACAAACCAGCTTACCTGCTTTAGTTGCCTAAGAGTCCACGTCAAAATGGCTAACTACAACACAGGTCTGGTCATCCTTCTAGAATGCCCCTCCTTCCTCACTGCCCAAATCAGGTGGGTCACACCTTCTCTCTTTCAGATCACTGCACTCTGCTCCCTGCCTCCAGGCTTGCAAACCTTACCTTCGCCTCATCAACCACTCAGCATCTAGAAGGGCCCAACATACAAAAATGATCATTTATCTTCTCTGATTAAAACACTTCAGAGGCGGGGGCCGGCCCAGTGGTGCAGCGGTTAAGTGCGCACACTCCGCTTCAGTGGCCTGGGGTTCACCGGTTCTGATCCTGGATGCGGACATGGCACCGCTTGGCAAGCCATGCTGTGGTAGGCGTCCCACATATAAAGGAGACAAAGATGGGCACAGATGTTAGCTCAGGGCCAGTCTTCCTCAAAAAAAAAAAAAAAAACACTTCAGAGGCTCTCTCATGGTCTTCAGAATAAAGCCCAACTTTCTTCACAGGGTCTACAAGACTCCCCCAGATCTGGCCTCTGCTCATTTCTCCAGCCTCACCTCTAGTCACACCCTACTCTGTGCTCCAACCACAGAGAATACTTGTGGTCCATCAGTGTCACCCAGTACTATCTCTCTGGGCTTCAGCTCTTGGCCAATTAATGCTCCTAGGCCAAGAATGCCCTCTACTGATTTTGACTGGCTAATTTATACTTTGGGACTTAGCCTAGACATCGGTTACCTCCTCCAAGAACCCTTCCTTGACTATTCAACTCCACCAAGACCGATGCCCCTCTGATGTCTTCTCACTGCATCCTGGACTTACACTTCCCCTGCTACAGCGTACTACCCAGTTCACTTATCAGTCTCCTCCACCAGACTGGAAGTGTCTTCAGGGGAGAGACTATCTTCACTGTGGTACTCCCAGCTCCCAGTATGGTGCCAGGCATGCAGGAGGTTCTAATATTTGTTGAATAAATAATATCTCCACCTTTCTCCACCTCAGCCATCAGTGTGTTGGTTTAGGGCCTTACTGCTTCTTACCAGGAATACTGCAATTCCCCTAATAAAGGGCTTCTCAAACTTTAGAGTGCCTATGAATCATCTGGGAATTTTGTTAAAATGCAGCTTCTGATTTAGTAGGCGTATAATGGGACCTGAGATTCTGCTTTTCTAACAAGCTCCCAGGTGATGCCCTTGTTCTTGGCCCATGGGACACCCTTTAAGTAGCAAAGTCCTAACTCATCCCCCTGGCTCTAATCTCCCCCTCTTCTCCCAATCCATCCTTTGCCTGGCAACAAAAGAGATTTGTCTAAATATGAGGGCACTCCTCTTACAATAATTCAGCAATTCCTCCCAGAAATTCAAACTTCTAAAATTGTACACAAGGCCCTCCAAAAGGTGCCCAACTCCCTGGCCTAACCTCCCTGTATCCATGGGCAATACCCTCAGCTCTAATAAGACCAACAGTAATCACGTCCGAACACACATACACATAAAAAAGAACATTGTTCAAACCACAAAAGTGACCAAACAGTCTACTATCCTGGCTAATAGGAGTGACCGCTTATCTTGACCAACCATGGCATTAGCCTTACTCTACATAGGTAAGATTCTCCCCCACATTAGATTTAAGATAACTAATAGCAGAATTATCTCCACCTCCTGACTACTTTGCTGAAAATCACCTAACACAAGCCTAGATCTAATAATAGCCTCTTCCTGAGACACCCCATGGTTTCCCATGGTGTGAGTTCTCCCGTACTACAAGGAGTAATAACCGGAACTTGTTCAACCATAGGCATGTTCCTGGAGGGAACTGGAGGGCAGTTCTGACTGGAGGGCACTGACATTGCTCTCTCTCCATCTTCTCATAAGAACCTGTGCATACCTCTCACAGAGCTTACATAACCTTAGAATCTTGCTCTTATCAGTCTACCTAACTACCCTGACCTCCTTAATCTTAGGGACTATGGCTTGAACATAACTGATGCTCAATAATGTTTGCCGAATAAATGAAAACCATGTAAACAATATGTTTTCACATGGACTAAAAATAGAAAGAAACCAGAAAAAAATAAAAACAGTTGATCACAGGTCCCAGAATCACAGGTAATACTTAAATTTCCCTCACTGATTGTGCTTAAATGATTTTACCTCTACATATACAGGAATCTGGAAAACAAGTAATAAACCCATAAAGTGGAATGTGTACAATCATAAAAATGATTCTGACGAACCCCATGCTTAGGCTACACTACTAAGTGGTAAATAAGGAGGAATCAAAATTGCATATACGCTAACATTAGGAGTATCAAAATGTATGGACAAAAAAGATTTACGGGGGAAAGAAAAAAGGCTTAAAATCGTGTGTAGGCTGATGGAATTGTGAGTAATATTATTCACCTATTTTCCAAACCCTCGGTAGTGCTGTTACTTCTCTAACAATATAACTTTAATTATAAATGTTTTGTTTCATAGTTTTACCAATAAACATAAAGTCAAACCTCCTAACTGGACGATCCTGGGCCGAAGTTGACGGTGAGTTTTGATGGCAACGTATCCGATGCAGCTAAAAGCGGGCAGTCTTAGTAAAAAGTGTACATCCAGGGCTCACCATGTGCCAGAAACTGTTCTAAGTGCATTTTCGTTAACTCCTCACAACAATCCTAACAGAGGTACTATTATTATCCCAAGTATAGAGATGAGGAAACGGAGGTTCCAAGATTAAATCACCCGAGGTCACACAGCTAATAAGCGGCAAAACCAACTCTAGAGCCCCGGTGTTTAGCTCCCGATTCGAGTCTGGGGAGCAGTTCAGAGGGAATAGTGCCGCGGCCAGGCGACCCCCTCAACCCTCACCTGCTAGGGCAGTGTCGCCCCGCCACATCCCGGAGGCACCAACACCCGGACCGCGGCGGCGAGCCTCCCAGGCTGGCGCCCAACTGCGAGTTCCGCCAAAGTCCTCCGCTTTTCTCAACCGTGCTCTCCACTTTTCCGGTATAAGTCCATCTGCTTTTCCCGTCCGGCGCCAAACTAGGCATTATGACACTAGCGTTCCGGTCCGGTGCGGAGGGCTGAGAAGAGCCGCAAAGATCCTGGAGCCCGGGGAACTGAGGCCTTTGGTCCACCACCTTCCCAAAGGGCCCGGCTTCCACCCCTCCTAATCTCTTCTGCCCTAGGTGAGAAAGTGGGAGGAATTTAGAGACGCTTTTCGCCTGTCTTTCCTGCATCCCGCATCTTTCAAATAGGACCCAAATATTGCTAACGCCCCTTCGCCCTCAGGTGCCAGGGTAGCCTGGGGCCCCATCTCCCCGCAGTCCCCCAAGAGCTGTCCATGGCCTCAGAGGGCTGGTTCTGCTGGAATTGCCCCCGTGGAATCTTTGGAGACCCAGCACGCACCTGAACAGCAAACCGTCCTACGCACCCTTCCCCAGTCCCGCCCAGTGGGGTCGCCCACTCTTCAGTCTTCTATCGTGTTTTGTGCAAACCTCTGTTTAAATTCTTTCAACATTGTACCTTAATTGTGCGTTCACTTCTCACTTCCGCAGCGCTGTTAGCTTCTTGGGTCCGGAACTGTGCTGCTTTTCCCGTCCCCAGCACCTAGCATCGTGCTGGCAGAAATTAAGCCTCAGCATGAATTTGAATGAATTGTAACACCTGGCAATCAACACCGTTCTTCTCCAAAGATCCGAAAGACCTCACCGAATACAATTGCCTTTTCCAAGTTTCCTCCGTTACTCGTTTCCATGCCACCATCTCTTCCTTCTTGAAATTCTGCTTTGACTTCTTTAGACTCTACCCTTCCCTGGTTTTCCTACCTCCTTGAACCTTCCCCAGCTTCCTCCTTCACCGACTCTTCTTTCTCTTCCCACAATCTTAAATGCGGATTGTCTCCGAAGCCCAGCCTGGCCTTCCTCTTTTCTAGTTTCAGATACGAGTTATCTATAGGCAATTTGATAATACCTTTCCCTAAACCCCAGCATACATTTCCAAACTCTTGATAGCAGTTCCAGCTGTGGGATATACCACTAACATCTCAAAATCAGTATGTCTAAAACTGAATGTACCATTAACCCATATTAACTCCTTCTTTTAGCTTCCCTATTTCTGTAAATGCCCACATCTTCTAAGCTGGAAATCCTTGGCTTCTCTCCTTAAAATCTCCTCTTACTGACCCTAAATCCTATTGAATTCTCTTCGCTGTCTTGGATCTTCCCCTCCTTTCCAAACCCAGTGAAACCTGAATAGTTATTGCCCTTATACAACTTACGCTCAATCTACTGATTGCCCTACTCTGGACACGACAGTTTGTCTATTTCCGTTTTTAAATATGGCTCCCAGAGCTAAACACCATATTGCTTTGGCCTCTAGACATGCCACTGTGTAAATTCTAAGCCCTCCATAATCTCCTGTTCCATCTATACTACTCATACGTATCCTCAATTTCTCATCCCAGCTGGTATCTGCCTAAACCACACTCATTCCTCCTCATAATGGAGTTAATATTTTCTGTGCTCAGCATCCCTCTGTCTTCCACATCCCAAAAGTTTAGTCTCAGGTGTTTACATGACACCCCCACACACACTTCAGCTGATTGGTCCAGTGGTAGGCATCTGATCAGGATTTGGCCAATCAGCTTATTCCCAGGGATTTTCTGAACTAAAACTAGAAAAGCGCCCTTTTGACCCTGGTGTCTCCTGTGTCTCCCTGAGGAGCTCCTGAGCTGCCTGCTAATACTGTGAAGAAAATTGGTTTGCAGAAAGAGAAAATAAAATCAGGTGCTGAGAAAGACAGAAGGGAGAGGATAAAAGAAGGTCCAGTCAAGCATTTATATTGTGGCTTCTAGTTGGTCCTCCCATGGCTTAGGTATTTAGTCGTTCCTTGACTTCTAAGCACCAATAAATTCCTTTTACCTAAATTAATCTGAGTTGGGTTTCTATCACTTGCAACCTATAGGTCTTAATTGATACATTGATTCCACCTATTCAGAACACACCTTAAATCCTATGTTCTCTTTAAAAACTTTCCCTAATACATCCACCTCATAATGATTGCTCCACTTCTGACATCCTATCATATTTATTCTTTGTGCTATACACATTGGTACTTAATTATGTTCAAATAAAAAGTAGATTATAAGCATGACTAAACTGTTCATTCGCTGTTTTATGGGTACAAGCCTTTTCTCTTCAACAGGAGGGTAAAAACCTTGAAGGTAGTGATTTTGTCATATACTTTAAAATATATACCTTCTACAGTAACCTGCAAAAATCTAGACACAGAGTGGGAACTGCCTTAAGAGGCCAAGCAA